TGCGAGGCTCGAATAATCGTATCTCCTCTTCCCAAATTGTCTACTTTAGTGGACAACCTGAGCGTCAGTAAGGGAGACATTACTGTAGCGTCAAAAAATGTCGGCATTTTGTGAATAGCGGTGCAAATAATTATCGCACGATTATATAGTAACGAAAAATAAATCACACTCCAAAGGATTAATCGCCGATATCGCTAAACTAATAGTCAGATTATCGGCGAGAACTAGAAGAGGATGCCGCGTCGGTGCTAGCGTCGAAATCGAGAGACGGAGCGCGCGCGCGGTTGACGTCCGCGGCCGAGATTCGATCCCGAAACTTGCCGGCGGAGGCTACAAATTACTGCGGGGACGTTGTGCGGCGTGGGCGGCGGTTCCGTTGAGACAACGGCGTTTCCGTGACGATTAATCGTGGCGGGCTGGAGAGGAGCAAGCAGAGTGGAGGGCGCAAGAAAAGCGGAGCTTGCGGAGTCGCGCGCGTCCTGCCGCGATGCTCCTCTCGGAGCGCGTCTTGACGCGACTCGAGTCGAGTCGAGTCGAGTCGAGACGCGTGCAGCACGGTGCCGCTCGATTCGTACGGTGCTTTACGGAGCCTGTTAATTACCGGTGACCAAGCGGCGGACACGAAACGGCGTCGAGTGGCTTAACCGGCCCGTTATGCTTCTCCCGTGGGCTGCGGGCTCGGTGCAAATCACTCGTACGTCGCCTTGCCAGCACGAACTCAGCACAATTCCGGGCACCGAGAGGAGACGCCCGGTGCCCGTTGCTGCACCTGCCATCGTCCGCGCAGCTACTGCAGCCTCTGCTGCTGCTGTTGTAGCAGGATCGGTGCGCGAGAGGAAGCTGTAAATCACCCGACGCGTCTCTAAAGACTGGACGCCTGTGCGCGTCGCGGCCTCCGATCGATCCTTCGAGAGCCTGTCGAGGATTCTTGACGATGTTCAACCGACGAACGCCGCTCTGTCTGTCTCGACAGTGTGCTAGAACACAGACGGTTGCCAGCCGACCGGTGCTCTTCCGCTTGCATTCCGCCAACGCGTGCCAGCCGGCACTCGCCGATATGCTCGTTAAATAGCGACGCGTATTAATTCACGGGCATCGCGACGGTTCGTCGAACCGGTATCGGAACACCGTGTCATCGCGATTAGCGGAATCGGCTGCTAATTGTATCGTGTGTCGTTGTCTCGCGGAATGTTCGTCACATGCCAGACCGCTGCGTACTCGCGCCGATGTCGAAATTGGTGGAGCGTGGGTATTACCGCGGACGTACCAAATACTGCGGTATTTTATAAATGTAATGAAATCTGGAGATATCAAAATTGTAATAAACATTATATAATAAAATGTGACAATAAAACAATTGTAATACAAATTATAATAAAATTATATAATGAAATCTGACAATTAAAAAATTATAATAAAATTATATAATAAAATCTGACAATAAAAAAATTATAATAAAAGTTATAATAAAATTATATAATAAAATCTTTATGGTGTGTAAATATTGATGATTTATGACGTACACGTAACAGCAATCGCAGTTTTAATTCATTTCTTGAATTTTGATACTCGGAAGCTTATGATGGATATTGAGTCTTAATGATGATTCGAAATTTATATCTCATATTTTGTATTTTATATTTTATTTTATATTTTACACTTTCTATATTTATATTTTTTATTTATACTTCGGTAATTAATAACAAACTATTCATTCTAGCGTTATTTTTAGATAAAGTAATCGTAACTTTGATAAAAAAAGTTGATAAAATTGTCGCCATCATCTGTCCTCAAATATTATTTACTGACACAGTATTAGGCGCACAGGCTTTTACTATGCGAGTACATTACTGCGACGCCTTACCGAAACAATTTGGTAACAGAAGCTACAATTATAAGCTACTAATTATTATCAAGCCTCGCGGCTCGATTTTATAGTTGTCGACAATCGGTTACTATAAAAGTCGCAAGGCTCAACCTCAAATTTATCGGCGCGAAAGGTCTCATTTTCTCCGTCAAAGTTCGCCTTCATAGAGAAACCACAGTGACACCCTAAAGGATCAGAGACCCTAAGAGAGCAGAGACGATCGACACATTCGACACGATTCTGAAACATTCTTCGGCGAACCTCATTATAAGAGCCTTCGACCGCTCGCGTCCGCTGGAACAGCAATTTCCGAAGCACCGAATTTCAGAAAGCGTGTGAAATCGACGCCCGGATTAATCGACGCCGCGAACTTCGCCGGCCGTCGACAAATTTCAATCGGACGTCGATCGGAGCAGACCGTTTCCGTTGTGTGCTTCGAGAGAGAGAAAGACAGAGAGAGAGAGAGAGAGAGAGAGAGAGAGAGAGAGAGAGCAAACCGGCGCGGCCGCGGCGTTCGAGGAAACGGAAAATGGCATTTCCAGAAACGAAGTTCCGAGCACCGGGGATTGACGGTGTTGACTCGATCGAGCACGTCCATGTTTTCGCAGGGTTCCACGAAGTTCCATTTTCGGTCAGTTGATCTTTAGCCGTAACCGATAGCACATCCTGCAAGGTATATAGGTAAACAAACGTAAAGTTGAAAGGGGGAGGTCTCCGGTGTCCATGGAGCCTCCTCGCCCCCCTGTAAGACAGTGAAACATCTCGGGTTACCAGTTTCAGGAGGGATTAAGAAGGATCAGGGATCCAACCTCCCGGTATAAACCGTAAGATAGCCCGCTCCTGTGCAATTAAATCCGCGGGGTCGATATCGGTCCGGTCCGGTCCGGCGCGGCCGGGAAAATCGTTTCTCACCGGTAAAACGATCTTGTTCGGTGACTGGTTCGGCAGTCCGTGACCCGGCCGGAACGTTTATGAAATTTCAGATTGAATTTCATACACACGGCTATTTACGGTTTAGACCGGCCGCCTGTTTCTGCATCCACGGTGCGCCGTCTTCCCCGGGCCGGATAGTTGTTAGCAGTAAAATAATCGTTTTAATGAAATTCAACGGGAATTTAACCGTCCTCCGCTACTTTGCACAATCGTTACACAGCCAATAGCGCGGGCGTTTAATTTCTATTTTTTTCTCTTCTCGCAAATTGCTCCTTAAAATCGGGGATTTGCATACACAGCTTACTCGCAAACCGCGAATAAAGAGCATTATTTATATCTATCAAACGTTGATTTTATCGAAGCATTAAGTGAAACTGCTCTCTCTCTCTCTCTCTCTCTATCTGCTCTCCCTCCCTCTCTCGCTGCTCTCGCTTTCTCTCTCTCTTTCTTTCTCTCTCTGCTCTCCCTCCCACTCTCTCTCTCTCTCTCTCTCTCTCTGCTCTGCCTCCCTCTCTCTCTCTCTCTCTGCTCTGCCTCCCCTCTCTTTCTCTCTCTCTGCTCTCCCACCCTCTCTTTCTCTTTCTCTCTCTCTCTGCTCTCCCTCCCTCTCTCTTTCTCTCTCTGCTCTCCCTCTCTCGCTCTCTCTCTCTTTCTCTCTCTTCGCAACGATCCCGCGATCTTAAACATTGTTATTTTACTCCCGCGAAAGTGGCCGACGCTTTCGGTGCTCTCGCGCGATTGCGACACGCCGGCTTCTTTATTTCGAGTTTCATTAAATGGAACGCACGGCGAAATAAAGAATCGTGTTCACGGTTCCATTCGGCATCGATTGGCCGCGCGGAGACCGGAGGAGCCGCCCGATTTCGTCGAGCTCGATTAATTATTATGGACAATCGCGGCGGACCGAGGCATAATCGGGCCGCGTGTTCCGGTCCCGGCAAAAGCCACGGATTCTCCGATTACCGAGTCGAAATTATAATGGAACAGGTGGCGGCCGGTTCACCTTGAACGCGCCGGTCTCTAACTATTCGAGAGGCGCGGCGAGAGCTTTCGTTTCCATCGAATTCGCGCGAACCGCGGGAATCCCGGTCGGCCGCCGGCAATCTTCGAAATTAACCTAGCGGCATGATTTTCGACGATACGGTTTACACGCGGCGAAAATCTCTCGGTCGTTCCGCGCAGACCTGCGACAAGCCACACCGTCGCACAGTGGTATAAAAGACTGAAATCGTGGCAAAGATCCTAAAAATCGAAGTTGTCGTTGAGGAGTTTTTGACTTACGGATCGATTAGTTTAACGATGCGTCCGTGTGGTGGGAAAAACGAAGTGACCCATACTTTTATACCCGAATGGCAATTGCACTTCGAATTTCGAGTTTGTTGGGCAGTCGTTACTCGCGAGCGTGACCGATGCTACGAAGTGGATAGTTTAAAGCGCGTATCTTTTTGTGGAAGCGTTCTTTTTCGATCGTGTAAAATTGATATTGTTCACGGTGATAAGTACAACATTTTGTACCGTTAACGTCTCGCGAATCGTTAACTGTTACATTGGTAAATCGATAAATTGTAGATTCGAATTGTAAGAGCAAATGGAATGCGTTTACCGTGAAGTTATAGTCGAAACTTTTGCGGCTTGCGAGGGCCCGCTTTCAAACTTACCAGAGCCATAGTTTGTAGTTTCATCTAGCTGCGCTGAAAAAATTGGCCGCGTCGCGTTGCACTTTGTTCGGTTACAACCATTTTTGCGAGTCAACGTACGGGAAACTGTCTCGCGAGAGCATCCAAGACGGAATAACTTTATAAAAATCGTGTCGAATTGCTTACGTTGTTTTGAGATGTTAGAAAAAACACTTTATCAGGCAATGTCGAAAATTATTTCGACAAAAATGAAATTTGTTAGATTGACAAAAATGTTTCAATTTTTGGTTTTCTAGTTTCAGGATCTCGCGACAGTCGATACTGTTTAACTGGGAAAGAAGTGTTCCTTATTATTGAAGAAAATGTAGAAAGTTAAACTGTTATAATTTCTCGCGAATTTGCGGCGATTGGGTACGATTTTGATGGCGATTGGTCGATGAGACATTGCAATCGTTGGAAAAGAGATCGAAAGCGATATAATGTGTGAACGGTTCGGAAGGAAATCAGTGTAGGTTCACTTTCTTTTTAGGTCAAAAGATCTTTCGACCGATAAAACAAAATAGTCGATTTTAAAAAGAAGAATATATTGACGTTCTTCTTTTGTTTCTCTCTTTTAGTTAATGTTATTTTAAGGTTATTATCAAAATAGTCGATTTTAAACAGAAAAATACATTGACATTTTTCTTTTGTTTCTCTTCTGCTTAAGATTATTCTAAGATTATTATCATCTTACAATTATTAGCAGCTTTGCCATCATCTCACGGTCAATTAGCAAAATCCTAATTTACCTGAATTTTAAGATCAACGAACTTCACATCGATCGACTTCCGAGCCTTTCGCATGTAAAACAACGAAATTAATGCAACAGCTTCTGGAACACCTCCCGGAAATAATAAATAATAATAATTACAGACGAACAGCCGACGCGTCGAGCGTCGCAGAATCCACCTCCGTCGTAATATATTCAAAGAAACTTGATTTCACCAGGACGTTTCCGAATGCAAAAAACGCCGTCCGCCGTGATAAAATTTTGACCATCCAATTTCCGTTTCATTGATTAAATTACTCGGAGCTTGTGGAAAAACTTTCGAGCTTGATTTTCGCCGCTTGACGCGTTAAGTTATTCAGTGCTTACGCGCGAAGCGTGTGATCGCCGAGCGGGCCGAGCCGATAAGACGGCGAAGCCTGATTAGATCGTGCAATAATTAGAAGGCGAAATTTTCTACAGGAAAAAGTCGTCAGAGAAACGGAAGACCGGCTGCCGGCGTGGCGGCGGTGCTCCTTCTCGCACCGAACTTCCGAAGATAATCGTCTTCGCTGGTCGGAGCGAACGTGTCCTCGCGATAAGAGGATCTTCTCGCACGGACCTGGATTAGGCGTCTCCGCGAGCGGCGAATCGCGGCATTATGGAAACCCAAGATGCCATAATTCCCTCGGCCGCGGCCGCCGCAAATCATATTCCATAAACACGGCAAACCAGCCAGCCGTCAAATGACGCCCCGGGCAACGACTGAAACCTCGATGCAGCGGGGCCTGTCGTGTAATTATTCCGCGCGCGGCCGAGTCAATAATTGTCGCGTTTGTACCTGTAACATTAACGAACGCAGTAGTTGTTAGAAAGTTAGCCGATTGCCACTCGACCTACCGCAAATTCCGGAAAAATCGGCCGCATTACAAGAGAGACAGTTTTCCAGGAAAGCCCATTCCATTTCAAGCAAATCGATCCGACTCTCCTACGCGTTCCCATTCTCAGTCGGTTCCACTATGATTTCACGTTCTTTGTTTTATAGTTGCAGAAATTGAAAAGCCTCTTCTAATGAAGCCGATGACATGTCTACGCTCTGCTGCCTTGTCATCGTTACAGAGCGACGCGCGCTAATCACTTTTAGCGCTCCGCTGGTTCAGTGTCAATAATTTCCCTATTAACACTATGCCGTCCGCAGATCTTAGATACGATTCTTTTGTTCGACGCCGGCATAATGGAAATTTGGAAACTTTATATTTTTTTTTTAAATTTCGAAGACGGCGGTAATATAAATTCCTAAAATTAAGATATGTCATCCAAGAATTTTCGTGCTTAATTCTTAGTTAAATAAGCACGATGCTACAGTTAGTTTGCTGCCTTCTAACACCCAAGAAATATAGTTGGAATGTTGTTTCAGTTTTTGAAAATGGCACCAAAGTACCACCGGACGACATAGTGTTAAAACGAGACGATTCTTGTTTCTGGTATCGTCTGCCTTCATCTTTTGCTTCTATTGGGTCCAAAAGAGTTCTGAAGATCCAAATAAGAGGAAACATTTCTTTCGTGAACAGTAATGTCTGCCTAACTGACGCTCAGATTGTGCACAAAAATGGACAATTTGGGAAGAGAAGATACGATTGTACGAGCCTTGTGACTCGTTTTTTATGGTTATCGATTGTCAACGACTATAAAAACGAGCTGCAAGGCTCGAACAATCGTATCTTCTCTTCCCAAATTGTCCATTTTTATGGACAATCCGAGCGTCAATTAGAGAGACATTACTGTATTTTGGAAAATTTGCTATGAGAAGCAAGCCCGAGAATGCTATTAATTGTTGGTAACAATTGTTAATAACATCCGTGCCTCCTTGGATTTCACGCGCATGACGCGAACGCGGGAGAATTTAGGTCCTAATTATCGCGGAGGAAGTTTCGCCGTTCGCCGATCGGAGAATGCCGATTATTCGCGCGGAGTGAGAGATCACCGAAACGTGTTCCAGCAAAATGCATTTCCGGCGCGAAAGAATGCGGGATGATGAAGTAATAAGGAAAGTGGGACGGGTCCTGTTGATACGAGGGGCCCGCGTTTAGATGCAAATCAGTTAGCAACTCGCCAACTCCCGCGCGCTAATAGTTGTACCTTTGCCACCCACTAATTATGGAAATTCCGTCGGGATACGCGGCCGGTGTGCCGTTCCAGTCTTTCGGGGATCCCCGAAACTCGGATTACAGGCTACCCACTTCGTCGCCGTTCCCGGAAACTTTAATAACCTCCTTTTTTTCGACGTTGCTTTTTCCCCTGCCCTGGTTCCCGCGAGGACGCGGGAGGATAACTTTTCCACGAGCTTAACCATCGACAACACGGCTTGAATACTGTTACAACGAAATTGTTGAAAGGTACAATAATGTCTTCCCAACTGACGCTCAGATTGTGCAGAAAAATGGACAATTTGGGAAGAGGAGATACGATTAATTTGAGTCCTGCGCCTCGTTTTTATAATTACCGATTCTCAACAACTACAAAAACGAGGCGCAAGATTCGAATAATCGTGTCTCCTCTTCCCAAATTGTCATTATTTGACAATTACTGCCCTGGTCGAGAATAGACTCAGTAACCTTGACATAACCTTGACGATAGAAGGTGTCTTGTGACAGCGCAGGCCTCCAGGATACGATTCAACAGTCTGCAAAATATTTGACAGAGAAGATTAGCAAGGATTCCTTGCAAACCTCTGCGCGATGAAATTGACTGCTGAAAGCGTAACTGTTGCACGGGTCACAATATTCACTTTCATATGCACACATTCACAATAAAATGCGCTAGGTCTTACAAAGTGGAAAAAAAACCGTGGGTCGTAGAAACTGTTTTTAATTCGTCTTCGGGCGCAAAGGGTTAATCACCGATCCGAAAGCGCGGCGAGTTGCCCTCGGGTCGCTTAACCCGTTCCCCCGCGAGCTCGTCGATATTCGCTTTCGCGCGGGCGATTGTTTTACGAGGAAAAACGCCGGTTGCCGCGAGTAAGAAAGCCTATTTTCACCGGTTCCGCGCGCACAATGCCGTTGCACGGTGGCGCAAACTCCGTATAATATTACCGTAAAACACCCGTTACCCGTGCACCACCGGCCCCCGACGTCCATTAAATCATGAAGGTATCGAGCGGCCGATACACGAGCGTGTCACTGCATTATCGTTGTACTATTTGTATCCGTTTAGACGAGAAAATCGCTTCCATTACACGATTCCGTCACGATTCACGATGACGCTTCCCCCGTGCGCGCGCGCGCCGGACGCCGCGCCGTGACGCGCGTTTTATCGGTAATAACGCTTCCAGTTTTATAGCGACGCGGTGTTTTATACTATTCGTGACTCGTAAATTTCGCGGTCGGCTTTATCGTTAATATCGCTTCGTGAGTCCTCGCGGAGGACAACAATGCCGTTCATGCCCCCCCCCCCCACCCTCTTGACTCGTGCCGCGATCCTTACGGAAGCGTGCGACGCAATCCTCGCGAAGCTATCCGCGCGATCCAACGAATTGTGCGCGATTCTTTTCACGTAAAATTCTTGAAACTAAAAAAGAAAATAATAATGTAAAATTCTTAACACTAAACCTACCGCGGTCTCTTTGACCGCGGTTCTTATTTTGCAATTCTGCAAAGTTCCGAGACTCTTTCGTGGAGAACGCTTGAATACGTTATATTATTGGAGCAAAGTTTTATAATAAAAACTTTACGAATTCTAAATAAATTCGATCTTCTCGCTTTTACACGCCTGTTAGTATCACTACTAGCATTAACCCGTTGCACTAGAATGGCGACTCTGAGGCGCCACTAAAAATTGACCTTCTCTTCCCTAACTGTCCATTTCTGTGCAGAGTCTCGGTGTCATTTAGAGAGACATTATTGTACTATTTTTCAATATCATTCTAATTGAATTGTGCGATTCTTTTCACATAGATTTTATAGTTTTAAAATAGGGATCATGAATGTTAACCCTTTGCACTCGAGTGGTGAGTCTGAAGCACCACTAAAATTATTGAATCACGTTCTAATATCACTTTAGATTATTATAATTTATTATAATATAATATTATTATATTATAACAATAATAATATTAATATATAATATAATATATAATATATAATAATAATATTATTATAATATAATATTATTAATTTAATTCGAAGTTTTCTATTTCGAATCTAATAATCTAATCGACGTTTTATTATTAAATATTAATAAAAGCATAACTGTTCTATAAATCAGGAGACTCAATTGGTACGCACGAAACGCACTTTGTCATATAAAATGGAATTACTGTAAGTCAGAAACATTATTTTAGATTTACTGTTAAAATGGCTTCGAGTGCAAAGGGTTAAACATAGAAATACATATATATTACTGCACCTTACAGTGAACGCGGACGACTCTTATTTCGCATAAAATTCTGCAATCTACTTATGCGATAGGAAAATGAAAGGGATAAGCGAATGATTTGATTTTTGTCTAGATCGTCGAATCAATTAAAGAATATTGCGTTCGAAGCTTATCTAGACCAGCTTATCCAGATCATAGATCGTGGAAATACCGATGACTCAAGGAAGAGAAGTTCTGCTTGAGAAGACGGATTTCAACTTCGTCTAACGATAGTCATCGAACAGCCGTGTTATCTTGAACAGGAATCTGCGACCGATTAATGGATCGATGTGATTAGTTTCGAGCGATTTGGTCGCGCGACTTATCGCTGTACGCGATGTTTATACGGATTTACGGTGACTTATCGTTGCATGCACGAGTCGCCGCCGAAATCCAAATTTGGGGCCACGGATCCTGGCGGTTTCTTATCCGGAGGAAACGATAAAATAAAAATGTGGCGCTCTCGTGTTCGGCAATCGTATATCTTCCGGGGAGTTGTATTTTTCAAGAGAACCGAAGGGAAAAGGACCCATGAGGTATCGATTCCGGCGAGGTCTGTTCCAGAGCCTCCGAAAATAAAAATAGCGAGAAGACTTTTCGGAATTCGTAACACGTTCTTTTGCTTTCTCGGCGGCTCCATTTATTACGCGAGACGACCAGGCAAAACGATACCGAACGCCGAGACATTGTCCCCGTGATCAATGTGTCCGTCTCGAATTCATGCATCCATGCGAAACGCGGATAACTAACACGTCACTGAATAAGTCTCCGGTCCGACACCGTTGACAAACCTATATGATTTCTGGATAGTAGCATTCTTCGAACGACACGCGTCAAAATTTCATGACATTCTGATGATCAGTTTACAGATTATAGTGGTTTTAGCGACCCCAGTTTTGCAATTTTCAAAACCGATCCAGCAACCGGTTCCAGATTTGTCCCGTCGACAATTGAGCCGTTTATTTTGAAAGTGGCATAAGTCACTTTACCGTAATGAAAAGTGGTGATTTTTTAATTATTATTATTAATTTATTATTATTATTGGTTATTATTAATTTATTATTATTATTATTATTGGTTATTATTATTATTATTATATATTATTTATTATTATTATTATTATTATTATTATTATTATTATTTCAATTAATTATTATTATTATTATTTATTTTATACGAAATTATTTATACTGAGAAAAATATCAGTATCCCGAGATAACAAATACAAGTAAATCTTCTCGAAAGTTAGCATCCATATTTTTAAAAACGTGTTAAAACGCGAACCCTTAAATATATCGACTTAAAAACAAAGCGACTTATGCCACTTTCAAAATAAACGGCTCAATTATCGAAATTGCTCTCGCGGAAAATTCATGATCGAAATCCAGACGATCTTGTTATATCCGTCTCAGACAATGCGTACAGTAAATTCTCCCTAATTCACCGTCGGCTTCTACACAGAAACGGACAATTTAGGGAGAGGCGACGCGATTATCGGAGCCTCGCGCCACGATTTTTTATAGTTTGTCGACGATCGGCCGGCATAAGAACGATCCATGAGGCTCGGATAATCGTTTTAACACTTTGCGCTCGAAGCCGTTTTAACCGTAAATCTAAAATAATTCTTCTGATTTATAGTATCTCCATTTTATACGACAGAGAGATGTGTATAAGAGACAGCGCTTATCGCGCGCAGTATTAACTCTGTCTCTTATACACATCTCTAAACACTGTCACTTCCCAATGACGAGTATACTCGTCATTGGGAAGTGACAGTGTTTAGAGATGTGTATAAGAGACAGCGCTTATCG